AAAAAAATCATTAAACTAGCACGTCTGCTAATATTTTGACGCTTCATTATATATTTTTAAATTTTAAAATAAAATACACAATATCTACAAAATAAATGTACATACGAAAAATTAACAAAATGTGTTTTTTTAATATTTTAATTTCCAAAATATATGGCAGATGAACTCTGTGTTCTTAATTGCGTTGATTGGATCTGCATGGCCTACAACTCTCCTGCGTACCACCATGTACCTTTTCTGTCCAGATGATGATCTGCAAACCTCGTTGCAAACAACATAGGTATTATTAGAACAATGAGACAGTTTGGCATAATTGACTTGCTTCTGGTGGTTACAATGACCTTTCAGATGGTTTACATAACCTGCCCTCTACAACAGCATCTACCCCCACCCCCACATTTCCAAGACTGCCTAATAGTTCGCAAATCAGAGTGAGTGTCCCTTCGTAGATCACGATTGATCAGACCACCCCTAGGACATTCCTTCTCAAAAGCGTTGCATCCCTCCCTTATAAAGTACATCCACTCTGTACGATTTAAAATCAGTTCTTCTAAATGCTGCACCGAAATGGTCTGAAGTTTGCGTTCAATTATGAAAAACACTGTTGCTACTCGGTGTTGATCTTAGCGAAAAACAAATTGTCCTTTTTCATTTCAGCAATGTCACGTGGGAGACCAGATGTCCTACAGTCAATCGCCGATCAGAATGAATTGTTATGATGAGAAGATATTTTGCAAGAATATTGGTGTTTATTGGAACTCTTCAGGAGCCTATAACTGTGTTGCGTTGCTTAGCACAACAGTAACTCATTCGAAACAGTCGACAATCCAACCAAGATTCAACAGAGGAGGGTTGTTTTAAGTATTGCAAATCATGTAAACATCATCGAAGTGTCAGAGATGATTCATTCTTTGCTAACAGCAGGTTGCCACTGAAGCAACTGGCCTGTTATGTCGATTGCTGGAGACGCAACATGGCGAGGGACGATATTACTATGAACAATGCGAAAAATCATTAATTGTCGTGTTTCGGTTACCACTTGTTGGTTTTTAGGTTCATGGCGTTTATCGGCTGTTATGTTGTTGATATATTTATGAAGTCAGACGTAGAAGACGCAAGTAAGGTTCAGATACTCCTGCCCGCCGGGCCCAACTACATGAAAAAGGTTGGACTTTGATTAAGTCCAAAGAAGAAGGCAAAAGAAAAGCAAACAAAACACCAGACCGATAATATATGTATATACAAATATATATTAATAACAAGTTACAATACATGGAAACAGTACAAAGGACGAAGTTCTGTGTGAATATTCTGTATGTGCGTCCGTGTGTGAATATTCTGTATGTGTGTGCGTGTGTGTGTATTGTGTGTAGCGTGTTTCCGCGCTATCCCTTGTTAGCGCCTACATTTCGAGGTTGATAGCTGAAATCCTCAAGGAAAAAGAGAAATTTACTTCGAGGTGTTGGTGCACAGGCCTGAAGGAAAAAAGAGATAGAGGCCAAGGGTCAGCGGCTATTTATAGCCAGGGAAGAGAGACCCCTGGTGAAAGGGTTAACGGAGTGAAGGAGGAGTTAACTCCGACACCTTTAATTTTGAATATGTCTATTGATCAATGACGTGTAAAGGTTTGGTGATATTTGAGGGTTCCCTGGGGCCCAATTCTTTGATTGTATGTCCCTAAAACTCAAGTGGGGGTCTATAGAGTTTAGTACTGAGATGAGAAACGAAGAAATTTTAATTATGTAAAACAGATGAAACATGAAATAAACACTTTATTCAAATTAAATATAAACTAAATTTTTATTTCGCTCTTTGATTGGATGCCATCTTGATATGGATGCCCTGGGGCCAACGCGCCGTCTGCCTTCTTTCTGCCCCCCCCCCTTTCTGTACTCTACTGCTATTGATTTTATTTGCTGTATCTTTCATCACGTCTATTAAATTTATAGTTGTTAATAATTATTTTGGGAAACCTTTCAATATTTTGCAGTTAATTTTTTTCTGTATATTTTCTGTAAATTTGCTAATATGGTTGTAAATAGAATTTTTTTAATCAATACGAATATTGTACACGTTTGTGCGTGTGCGCGCCATGATCATACTTAAAAGTCAAAGCACACTGACCTACTCTTTGGCATGGAAACAAGCAAAACACCTTTTCATGTCATAGTGATTTACTAAGCATAGCTTTGATATGGCACAAGGCCGAAAGTATGGGTCACCAAGTGAACATCGAACTCACTAGTCATAATTGACCTGGAGCAGTGTTTCTCAACCTTTTTAAGCAACGGCACACCGAGGGGCAAATGAAAATATCACGGCACACTTAGTAAAATTTTTAAGGGGTATACATTTAAATGTTAGGAAATAAAACCATAAATTTTTAATTAAACAAAGAATGTTGACTACAAATATATATATATATATATATATATATATATATATATATATATATATATATAAATATAAAAAAGAACAATGTCAGGTTTCATTGTAAAATACATCCCTACCCTTACCAAATTGTAGATAATAACTGATACAATGATACCGACATAAGGAAAATCTAGACACCCCTTAGAATATTCTGTAACCATGGAAACGTGATTTTAGCTGTGTCTTTAAAACCCGGTAATTTTTAAAAGTTACTCCAAAATTCGCTTGAAGATGAAATGGAACTAATGCTTTTAATTTAATTGCAAAATTAAATTCAGGGTTTTTAGCTTCTATTTTTTTAAACATGGTTGGAACTGTGTAGCGAAAAACCATATTTTAAATCAATTAATTTATAATATATATATATATATATATATATATATATATATCAAAAAGGTTAATATTCATTTATTCAAATAAAGGAAAATTTTAAAAAGTTAAATTAAAAAATTAAAAATACTTTTTAAAAAATGAATATTAAAATAAAGTATTTAAAATAACATAATCGAAGAATAGTGAAAAGAATTATTTGAAAAAATGTTTGATACTTATTTATTCATTCAAATACTAACGCTGTACCATTGCGACTTCCACACATGGCACAGTGGATAAAGGCGTTATTTAGTTTCCATGACAGGACCCAAAGAGTGTGAGTTCAATATTTGGTTAAGGCAGTGGAGAACCTTGAGAGGGGAATTAACAGAAGATAACTGACATCCATTAAACATGGCACGTGGAGCTAAAACAGTCTACCCCAGTGATCAAAATAAAGGGTTCAGTTCGACATTCCAACCACCTGAAGAAGGCCGGAGCGTACAACGGCCGAAACGTTGTGATGAATATGGCGACAAAGATGAGGACAATAGTCCGAATAATGTAAATAGTGAATTTAAATGCGTTTACGTGGTTTTGATCACGGGTCCTGTAATTAGGATCTAAAAGGAACCACATATCCTGCAGTTGTAGTAGCAGTGGGCGTGTCTTGGGAAAGATAGCCTGGTGGAGCCAAACTTTTTCCAGGCTGATCTTAATTCAGAGTCGTCTTCTCCTAGATCGGTTACCTCCCAAGGCTATAGGACCCAATCTGTACTCCTATTTATACATAGCTGGGAGGAATATAAATGGATTTATCCCTCTCCCAAGGGTATTTGCACGTAAGTGAATGTAATAAATGAGACTGGAATTCGAACTCGGCTCTCCGATTCCTTAATCCGAGCCGTTATCCATTACTCTACCGTGCTTGCAGGCTTTGTAGGTGATGAGCTATTTTCAATCCTACAGCCCCTTTCCCAAAGACGAAACATCACAAGCCTATCGCTATTTCCATGGTAAATGTTCAAAAGAGCTGCATTCCATAGTTCACCAGTTCAGACTTTCACAGCTAGGAACTACCATGCCCCCCTCCCACTACACAGGGAAGAATTATGCTCATTCCGTTTGTATCTCAAATGGGAAGGGAGCTTCTTCCCGAGAACTTCTACTTTGTAGAACCGACTCCCGAGGAGATGTTTTCCCAATCACTACAATAATAACCACTTGGGTCAACCGTTATCTATTCTCCTTATCCTCATAATCTTCACTTATTTCCTTCTCTAGCGCCAACCATACAAGTACCTCACCTCTGAGGCCACATCCAGCCCGCGAAGGATCTTTGTCCGGCCTGTCAAATTAACCGTAGTAAATAATTTGCATTTTTTTAATTCTGTTCGTTGTTATGCTGTTATTCCTGCTGTAAAATAAGGAAACTTGTTTAAATATTAACTTTGTTTTCTTTAAACGTCCAGACCAAGGCAGCCTTCTAGACGGTGTGGTCTAAAGTCGAGACAATTAATTATAGTACATTTGATATCATGTCTCTCCTGAGACACTCCATAACTATCTGGCCCGCTCTCTCCAAAACTGTCTTAGACCTTGTATAGAGTAAATATCTAATAAAAAATGAAACCGTTCTAAATAGGATAAAAGATTGACTTTCTTCAGAAGTACGAATTTTTGGCATAACAAATTACCAGAGCATTTTAAATTTGATTAAAACAAATGGGAGTCATTAGAATCAGAATTGATGTGTGACATTTATTATTTCAATTCTGATGAGTAAAGCACGTAATAGAATTAGACTGAAAATAGGACAAGAACAATATAATTTCACTAAAGACAATGGAACAAGTAATGCGATATTTATGATTTGAATGAAAGAGATATAGTAAAAACACAAATATTGTTAAGATCTAGAAAACATAAGAGGTTCTAGAGAGTCAAAATCGACCACATCTTGAATGTTCAGGATTAAAATAAACACGCTTTTTTTGCAGTTGTTTAAAAAAAATGAAAAACATGTTCCCAAAATACAGAAACTATCAGTGACGTTGTACGCAATTGTGTAATATTGTTATTTCAAATAATGAAGCAATCGAAAATAAAATAAACTCACAGCTGTTGCAAGAAATTAGGTGGAACATTAAATTTAATTGACATGGTTGCAGGCACAGAGATTGTCTAGAATACAAATTAGCTTCTCAATTCTTTTGAGTTCCATTGTATTCCTCTCGATTAAAAAAAATGGGATTAGGGCCATATCACGCTGAAAGACAAATTCTCGTACGATCACCGAAGTTAAGCAACGCCGATCCTGATCAGTACTTCGATGGGTAACCTCTTGGGAATACCAGGTGCTGTACTCTTGGATGTTCGAGTAGCGTAAAGGATAACGACACGGAATTGGAAATCATTGCTAATGTACCCTCACACACACACACAAAACGATATCTAATTTTGAAATACACACGCAGTAACACCTGTAACAAAAAAGAAACTTCAGTAATTATAGACATGCAACTCCAACAGCAACACTCGCCAACAGGAAGTTATGTTTAAGGCTTCAACTTCCCTACAGAGAATTCTCCCATGGGACACTAGCCTAGTTGTTTAAAGCGATGGTATCTCCTAAATATTCTTACAATCTAAAACTATTCTATAGCTTAAATATAAGGTTAATATTCATTTATTCAGTTACTTAAATCTTACTTATTATAAAACGCAGGTTGTGTGTGTGTCTGTAACGTTTATATGTTGGATCGAATTTCGTACATTTTTTAGCCGATTTCAACAAAACTTCACAGGACTACATAAAATTACCTTTTGGTGGTTCTAACGGCGCCGAAAATGGGAAAAACACAGTTGTTTTTTGAGAAAATCAATTTGAAAACACGATTAAGACACATCGTGAGAATGAAAGGGGGACAACTCACCCACGAAAATGTAAACAAAAGAGCATAGCATGATGAAAAAGACGCCAAACTTGACGAAAACAAAATTTTATCGTCTAATGTTCATATTATTATTAAAGAGGAAAGATCAAAGTATTTTTGGAGTATTTTTTTTTTTACATTTTTTAACCGTTCCTAGCACGTCTGAAATTTTCGTTAAAAATATTGTTTTTTTTTTTTTGGTCAAAAAAAAAAAAAAAAAGGACAGATAAACATTTTTTTCGATTTGATAAAAAAGATTAAAATCTGACTTTGATATTCTTTTTAAAAATCAATTATCATTTTTTCAAAACTGATTTTAATAAAAAAAAGATATTATACTTATTTAAAATATTTTGAACCAAGCTTAACTTAGCTTCTGCGCCGAAAAAATGTAATTTGAAAATAAAACAAAGCAGGTCATAACCTTTCGCGTCGCTTGACGAAAGGCACATTCATGACGTTTAGATAACTTACGGGAGGGTAATTCTTTCTACGGATGGAAGGAAGTGAAATTATTTAAGTGAACAAATTATTTACCTCGTATTATATAAATGAACTTTAAGTTTTTAAGTCGTAAAAAACAAATCGACTAAAATTTAAGGTTCTAAGTTTGTTCTACGTGACAATGGCCTTTGTATAATTTGGTGATATATATGAGTTCAATCCCTATATAGACAGTTGTATATGCATTCAGCGAAACTGTCGGGCAATAACCAAAACAATACTAATTAAAAATAAGCAAATAAGCAGTTGAACAGTCTACCTCCGTAACAGTCTACACCCCCCCGTAGATTTAATTAAATACATTAAATACATTAAATAAATGCTGTGTGTGTAAGTTTGAAATAAGTCATTGAAACAATATATCCCTTATTCTGAGATGAGTAATAAAATCATCCAAGGGTAGAGACTGTAGAGGGGCCGTGGCGGTTAGCTGTTGTTGAGGGTTCATGGCGTGGCTGTTATGTTGTTGATAGAAGTCAGACGTAGAAGACGCAAGTAAGGTTCAGATACTCCTGCCCGCCGGGCCCAACTACATAAAAAGGTTGGACTTTGATTAAGTCCAAAGAAGAAGGTAAAGAAAGCAAACAAAACACCAGACCGATAATATATGTATATACAAATATATATTAATAACAAGTTACAATACATGGAAACAGTACAAAGGACGAAGTGTGTGAATATTCTGTATGTGCGTGCGTGTGTGAATATTGTGTGTGTGTGTGTGTGTGTAGCGCCTACATTTCGAGGTTGATAGCTGAAATCCTTTAGGAAAAAGAGTGTGTGTGAATATTCTGTATGCGCGTGCGTGTGTGAATATTGTGCTTAGCGTGTTTCCACGCTATCCCTTGTTAGCGCCTACATTTCGAGGTTGATAGCTGAAATCCTGAAGGAAAAAGAGTTTACCTCAAGGTGTCAGTGCACAGGCCTGAAGGAAAAAGAGGTAGAGGTGAAGAGTCAGCGGCTATTTATAGCCAGGTGAAAGAGAGACCCCTGGTGAAAGGGTTAACGGACTGAAGGAGGAGTTAACTCCGACAAAGTCAACACCCTGACGACTGCGTCTAATCATGAAACAAACTGTCACAGCTGGGTGTTGAATTCAATATACACTTATATATATATATATATTTGTGTATTTGGGCAGCAATCCCTCTTTTATACAAGTTTCATTAAAAACGATAAAAGTTTCATTAAAAAACGGTACTGCGGTCAATTTTTATTTAATTTTTCTTGTGTTCATATAATTTTCTACTTTTCTGGACATAGAATATGTAGAAATTGCCCGAATGTTATCTATGTCCGGGCGCTTTCAACCATTATCAAGGATGATTTTATTTTTACTTTTTTAACTGAATGTATGGATTATTTTATATAAGTATGTAGAGTTATGTGCTGACCGTGTTTGGAATTAAATTATTCTTATAACTGTAGATACAGACATAATATATATATATATATATATATATATATATATATATATATATATATAAATAAAAATTCACCAACACCATCAACATTTACTCACTTTTGTTTATTAGGCATTAAATTCGATCACTAAACTCGTTCTCAATAGTTTAACTTTTTGACTCAGTTTTTAAGAATATTAGAGCGTTTTTAAATTTTATTTTTAAAATTTAAAAACGTTCTAAAATATTTTTAACAATATCTTTACTTCTGTTTCTAAATGCATATTGCAAAATAAAATTCCTTCCATTTGCTTTGATAAAGTTCCAAAGAGTACGAAACTTGTTGGCAAAGAAGTCTTTATTGTCTTTTTACAGATATATATTTTTTATTTACACACGCACACACACATACACAGACGAATGGTAGGCATGTAAAGCTGTAAGACAGATTCTGTTGAGAAAAATTCTCTAGCACGGCGCAGTGAACCAACTTTCTTCGCAGAATATCTAGGAATTAATTCAATATAATCATTCATGTCAGTTGAAAACCTTAGCCCGTGAAGCCACAATGAGTTTTTTCTTGCAGTATATATATATATATATATATATATATATATATATATATATATATATATATATATATATATACCTCAATGCAATCTTTAGGTGCCGTTATGTTAGGGGCTGATCATCTCCGTATTTTTATTCAAAAAGACATTTGATTTTTTCATTTAAATACTAATATAAATACTCTGTTAATGTTGTTTTCAAACAAATCAAACTTAGATAAAAGTTCATTAACCTTTTTATCAAATTAATAAAAACGCAAATAAACTCAAATTAAGATATATTTAAACATTTAATCACTTTTTCAAGCAAAATCGTATTGTAAGCCAAATAATTATTTACTATTTATTTTGGAGGAGAATTTAGATTTTTTTTAAGCAAATAAAGATTTACTTTTAAACATTGCCTTAAGAAGCAAACATTTCTCTGTAAATAAATTTAATTATTATTTTCAAAGAGAGTGGAAGCAAGATACATTGAGAATTTAGATTGAAAAGCGTTTATGTTTAAATTTCAAGTTATATTTGTATTTGAAAAGAAAAACAAAAAATAAAAATTAGCAGAGACAGAGTTACGGTCAATATTAGTCGTATTGAATATTTCTTTTACGAATTTATTTATTTAAATTAGTTTTCGAAAAATAAGGCTCGCTATAGTTTTTTGCTTTAATAAAACTTAATTTAAAATTATTTACTTTTTTAGGTTAGTTAAAAACTAAAAAACAATGAAATTTATTTTTTAAAGATTGAATAAAAAATTATTTTCTATAAGATTGCCGAAAAATATTAATAAGTGAATAATACACACACACGCACATACAGCCCTTTAGGGTGATACTGAGCCTGTATATACAGACAAACTTCTCATCAGCAGACTAATAGTGTGTGTGTGTGGGGGGGGGCGGTGTGGTCCATTAAAGCCGATTGTCCGGAGATGGGAGGGGATTATTTTTGAGTTATAAAACCACTATAGTAACTACCAGTAGTTATGATCATAATGTAAATACTATAAACATGTATATATGGCAGAAATAAATATATACTTTAATCAAAATAACAAAAATAATAGATTTCTCACAGCTACTTTCTCACGCATGCCCTAATTTCAGTTCAATTATGTGCCATGCTTGATACACGCTGCTTAGGCGATCATGTATCTTTCGATACATGACTGACGAGGCAGATTTTTTCTCGCAGTAGGTTGCCATTTCTTTTTGCGGTGGACCAGTTGCCATCCATGGTTATAGAACCCGGTTTATCCTGCTATTTACCCATAGCTGGGGGAGGGGGATGAGAATTCATACCTTTCCCTAGCGTATTAGCACGTAAGTGAATGTAATGGATTTGACTGGAATTCGAACACGCCCTAATGTATCGTACTTTAGAGTACATCCGTCTTTGTTTAAATTGAAAGGTACGCCAAAGGCGAAGAAGGAAGAGGAAGGAGTAAGGAGAAGGGAAGAGGAAAGAAGAGGAAAAAAATGGGGGGAAAAAAAATGAAAAAGTCTGCAAGTAGAGGTAAAAATGAAATCCCAAAAAGACATTCCCCCCATCCACTTGGTGAAGCACCTTGGTCGGTTGATCGTTTCCGTTTGGGAAGGGGCGCCGGGTTGCTTTCGGCAGTCCTGGTATTCTTTCTCCTATGGATTGAGTCGGTCGACTGGGTCTCGCGTTGTAACATAACTAATACTTTTTTCTTTTTACAAAAGAACTTTCTGAATCAAAGGTAGGAAAAAGAAAAGGAAAAAAGGGAAGGAAAAAGAAAGAGAAAGGAGAAAAAGATTAATATCATAGCAATGTAGCGACTGCTATGTTTTCACACGCCCACATTTTATTCGTCTGCGATTGGCTAATAAATCAATACTGCCTTTTTATAGGACAATTTAGCCATCGCAGTCGTCGCTTTGAATTTTTCGGTTTTTAACTTGCTTACCTGTTTCGTTAGTACAAATTCAGC